TTTCTTTCTTTCTTTCTTTCTTTCTTTCTTTCTTTCTTTCTTTCTTTTCCACTTTTGCTTTCTGGATGTAATTCATACCCTCAAAGAGTAACAAGATTATGTAATTAATCACTGAACATCATTTCAATAGTCCAAAATACATGTGATTGGGGAGATGTTTGTTGAACTCAGATCCTAAACTCTAAAAATCTGATGGTTATAATAAAGTAACAATGCCAACAGATGAATCCCCAAGGTGTCATAATATTCAAGATGGCACGCATGATCATGTGATCAAAGTAAGCAACACAAGGAATGGGGCTTTAATTGTATGGTTGCAGCAGACATCTGGAATTTTTGGATGCCAGTGAATACGAAAATAATGATACAGCATTATATCATACCTTTTTTTTCTTTTTATGACCCTGTAATCTCTTTTATTGTGGTGGAGTCAGGACAACTGAATGGAACTGAGCATTTACTGGCTGGATGCCCTTCCTGATGCCTATGCAGAGTTTGCAGCAAATATTTTCTCTTTGCGCCCTGATAAACATCTGCCTACAAGGATTGAATTCTCAACCTTCTGAGTGGTAGATGAGTATCCTCACCTCTAGGCCATTCTACCACTCCCTTATATAATACTTTATAATGTTGAAAATATCCCAGACTGCACAAAATCTCACTCTAATTTAAAATCTATGGATGCTCTACATTTTTTTATTTATTTATTTATTTATTTATTTATTTATTTATTTATTTATTTATTTGATTTGCCAATTGTTTACAAGATAATAAGTATAAGTGTATACATAGTTGTGAATACATGAAATGGGTACATATAAGAAAAATAAAAGAAGAATAAGAGAAACAATAGGACAGGGACGGTAGGCACGTTGGTGCGCTTATGCACACCCCCTACAGACCTCTTAGGAAAGGGGTGAGGTCAATAGTAGACAGTCTAAGGTTAAAGTAAAATATACTTAAATATATAATATAAATATAAAAATTAAATATAAAATATACTTAAACATACTTAAATGTAGATGCTATTTCAGTAAATGCTTAAGTCTCCAGAATTCTTACATGAAATACTAGTGCTATCTGCATCTTTATTAGTTGCCCCCCTCCCCACAAACATCTTTTCTTTAATTCACTAGAATCAACAAGGCTGGATCAAGATTTCTGTAGGCACTGTGCATTCTCCTAATCATTGATCTTCAAATCTCTATGGGCATGATCAACCTAAAGGTTCAACCCAGCCTTAATGGATCCCACTGACTTCAGAAGGTTAGTATTTTTAATTAAAAAACTGTTGTAGTCTTAAATAACTTTAAGATCACTCAATTTCAATGAAGAATTAAGCCGTGTTTAAACTTTGCCCAGAGATGTAAACAGAATGTTAACAATGCTTAACATTGGCTAAGTTGTGGACCATTAATCATAAGGCTATTCACATGTCATCCCAATCATATTAGCTCTAGTGTAACTTCTGTATGATTTCCCTTAAAGGCATTGTTTAAAGATATGAGTGATACAAAACTAACTACAAACATATTCCCTTCTTTAAAAAAACCATGTATTATTAAATCTTTTAAATAGTTGGATAAAACTCAGGACTTTTGTCAATCAAAGAATAGCGTGCACATATTCAGCCGAAGTGTTATCATGGGCAAATTTTGTCAGAACAGCTGGACACAAAATGATCAGATGGGATGAAAAAGAAAGATTCAGTCTTCATGACCCATTCGACTTTTTGAAACACTTTTGAGTGTAGTGCTGTTGTCTATAGTTATGTCACTATAGTTCTATTACTTTATATAAATTGTCAATTCACAGAGATGTGATGTTGGGTAATGATTTGTTCCCCCTCTCTTTTATTTTTACAATCAGTTAAAAAAAAGAGAGAGATCATCCAAATAAGCAAAAAGTAAAAGTGCATGTCCTTCTACCTATACTCTCTCTCAGTCAGTGGTTTAGCCGAGTTGCCTGTTTCCAAAGGACATTGAATATTCTCTTCTACTGGAATATTGAAGAGCCGACACAATTTAAATCTTTGGAGGGCAGAGTTTCTCCCAGTCTGCCCCATCTCAGACCTGACATGTCTGATCTTTAGAAGTGTTACTTGACTGGTATGTGGCTGATCAAAGGGTTGTTGTTTGCAAGAGCTGGTAAACTCCCTCTCAGACATTTTGGCTGAGATGAAACAACAGTGGGAGGTTTTAATCTTCTATTTACATCTACTGTATGTTTCAGTCTATATGGTGCTTGAGTTTGTTGTTAACCATTTCAGCAAGTCTTCTTTCTTGTTTCCCCTGAAAAGAGGATTGACCAGCTACAACTTTGAGTTCCGCCTTGTTTTTTCAGGCACAGATATATAAACTCCTTCCATATCCTACTATGTACAAAGTGTTGTTGGCACCAAGAAAACAAGGCAAAGTGGGACAAGATCAGTTTAGATTTTGAAGAAACGCTCAAATGGGTGCATCTTTGTATCAAATTTCCACCTCCGCTAACACTTATTTGACTGCTAACACTTGACTTCCGCCTCTGCTAACACTTAGCAGTCTTGATGGCCGGGAAGGTGGAAAATTAATTTTATCAGAGTGTCTAATGTCAAAGTGTTCTCATTCAACAAAAGGTAACTTACAACCATTCATGTAGTGACTGTTCAAAGTTACAATGGTGCTGAAAATGGGAGGTACAACCAGTCCTGGCCCTTATGACTGTCCAAGCATCCCACAGTCATGTGATCAAAATTCAGGTGTTTGGAAACCAATATGTATTGGCTCCAGTGTCCTGGGTCACATGTTCATCATGTGACCTTCTGATAGGAAAAATCAATGGGGGAAGGTGGATTCACTGAATGACTGTATGCTTCACTGAACAAATGCAGTGATTCACTTAGCAATGTGGCAAAAAAGGTTGTAAAATCACTTAACAACTGTCTTGCTTAGTGATGGAAATTCTGGTCCTAATTGTGATCGTAAGTCAAGGCCTACCTATACAGGTCTACAGATCCAGAGACTAGGGAACTATGCTTCCCTTGTGCATTTGACTTATGTAGGTCTAATGTAGATTTGGCATTGATTGTTGCTAAGCCACATTTCAAAAAGGAATTGAAAAAGAAATTGAAATAGGGGCTTTCCACTCCAGAGTTATGCTGATGCTACTTTCCCTGTTGGTCAAGTCAAGAAATAGATATTATTTTCAAAACTAACCTTAGCTAAGTTTGACAGTTTGCTCATTTCAGATTGGTCATCCTTATTTTCTGAATACATTCAATGTTGTTTTTTGAATAACGACATCCAAACCAGTGAATTAAAACAACAACATCTAATGTGAGTAGATCTATATTTATATTTATCTCTGTCTCAGATTGTTTGGGGTAACCAGAAGACGTTGCTGCTTTTCAAGAGACCTTTTATGACTTAAATATAGACAGAGTGGACATTACAACTCCTTACTCTGCCTTTCTGTAATGTTCCCATTATTGTTTTTGACTAGATGGGTGATCATGTGGCTATGTAGTCTCTTAATATACATATTTCATCTAGTCATGACTAATGGGGCCAAATGAAATGTGCATCTGAATGGACATTTCATTAAAATGAAAATGAAAAAGAATGATGCTTTATAGATTGAAGTTTCCCTCCATGAAACACCATCCCCATTGTTGCTTTTTATTTGTGGGGAATAACAGATAACAGATACCATGTTTCTCACAAAATAAGGCCGGGCCTTATTTTTTTTTTTTTTTTTTGAGTCCTGAAAAAACAGCTAGGCCGTCTTTTTGGGGGTGACTTAATTTCCTTCCCCACCTAGAGCAGCCCATACTCCACGAGGCCATTTCTATAGTCCGACAAAAGCTCCCCAAAGGCAGAGTCCCCAGCCGCTTCGGGACAGGGCATGTGTCCCCTCGCCATTAGGCAGTGTCTTTCAGGCGATGGAAGCTCCCCAAGGGCAATCACCAGCCACTTCGATTGGCTGGTAGAAGTGACCTCAGGGCGAGTGCACACACACACTCCCCCCGCTACAAGAATGTTTCTATCAGCTGACAAAAGCTCCCTTGAAGGCAGAATCCCCAGCCGCTTCTGGGCAAGGTGTGGCTGCCCGTGTCCCCTCGCCATTAGGCAGTGTCTTTCAGGCGATGGACGCTCCCCAAGGGCAGTCACCAGCCACTTTGATCGGCCAATAGAAACGGCCTCACGGCGAGGGGAGTATGCGTGTGCGCTCGCCCTGAGGCTGCTTCTACCGGCCGATCGAAGTGGCTGGTGACTGCCCTTGGGGAGCTTCCATTGCCTTAAAGACACTGCCTAAAGGCAAGGGGACACGAGCAGCCACACCACGCCCTGAAGTGGCTGGGGACTCTGCCTTCTGGGAGCTTTCATTGACCAATAGAAATGGTCTTGCAGCGAGGGGAGTGTGCGTGTGCGCTCGCTCTGAGGCCGCTTCTACCAGCCGATCGAAGTGACTGGTGACTGCCCTTGGGGAGCTTCCATCACCTGAAAGATACTGCCTAATGGCGAGGGGACATGGGCAGTCACGCCTCGCCCTGAAGCAGCTGGGGACTCTGCCTTCAAGGGAGCTTTCGTCAGCTGATAGAAGCAGCCTTGCGACAAGGGGAGTGTGTGTGTGCATGCTCGCCCCGATGCCGCTTCTACCGGCTGATCGAAGTGGCTGGTGACTGCCCTTGGGGAGCTTCCATCGCCCGAAAGATACTGCCTAATGGCGAGGGGACATGGCCAGCCAAGCCTCGCCCCAAAGCGGCTGGGGACTCTGCCTTCGGGAAGCTTCTATCAGCTGATGTTCTATCGGCAGATCGGGGTATTCTAGCCTAGGCTACCTGCAGGGCACTCCTAAAGGCAAGTTTTCTCCCCACCCCACCCCGCCCTTCCCCCCCATTTCTCTTCACCTCGTGTAGTTCTAATGAACAATGTGAGAAATGGCGGGGAAACGCATGGATTAAATAGGCCTAAATTTTGGGGGTGGGGCTTAATTTCACCTCATGCCTAGAAATCATGCTGGGCCTTCCTATTGGTGGAGGCCGTATTGTTGGAGAAACATGGTAATCAGAGTTGGAAGGGACCTTGTAGGTCATCTAGTCCAACCCCCCGCCCCAACGGGAGACCCTACACCATTTCTGACAAATGGCAGTCCAATCTCTTCTTGAAAGTCTCAAGTGATGACGCTCCCACAACTTCCGAGGGCAAGCTGTTCCATTGGTTGATTGTTCTCACTGTCAGAAACTTTATCCTTATTTCCAGGTTAAATCTCTCCTTATTCAGGTTCAATCCATTATTCCTTGTCTGGCCTACAGGAGCTTTAGAAAATAGCTTGACCCCTTCCTCCCTGTTGCAGCCCCTCAAATATTGGAAGACTGCTATGATGACTCCCCTGGTCTCAACAATAGAATGGCTCCTATTGTTGCATACTTTCAAGGAGGGTTGTTGTTGTTTTTTGCCTCCAGTAGTAGCAGCATAGTAAATTCAGCAAATTAGTAGCTTTGCTGAAATGTCTTACCGAGAGGCTGTATTGTGAATCCAAGTCCACTGCTTGGAGCTCCATGAAAGGCAAGAAGGATGAAACAAACAGTGTATGGCCCTGCAGCAAACTCTTGTTGTCTGAATCGCTCATGTTGCCAGCCAGCAAACATTTCTAATGCTTTCTAATGCACTGTGTCATCTTTACCCACCATCTGCTTTTGATTTGGGTTGTGTCTTACCGTCTTCACAGTGTAATGTAGCATTCCATAATCAGTAAGCATGATTATTAACACCCCGGGGGCTACTTTAAGAGTGCTGGTCATTTATTGGAGCAGTACCAGGAGCCCTTGTGGCACAGTGGTTAGGATGCAGTATTGCAGGCTAACTCTTCCCACAGCCTGGAGTTCGATCCTGAGAGGCCTCAAGGTTGACTCAACCTTCCATCCTTCTGAAATTGATAAAATGAGGACCCAGATTGTTGGGGGAAATACGCTGACTCTATCAACCACTTAGACAGTTCTGTAAAGCATATAAATCTGAGTGCTATTGTTATTGCTATTGTCTCCCCACTCCAGCAAGGATTTTTATCAATCACCCAAACAAGCTAATCCCTCTCTCTTATTTTTCAGTAAACTGATTCTGTCTGTACTCAGAAGAAGGAAGGGAGGGAGGGAGGGAGGGAAGAAGGAAGGAAACTGCAAAAATAAATTTTGTGAAAATTCAATGCAATGCTTCTTTTAAAAAAGAAAGAAAGAAGCATGCTTTCCTCTCCTGTTTTTCTGCTCTGTGTCTGTGAACCAAGTAACAGAGAAGGATGGGTGGACAGGGCATCTGCTTCATACAGGCTTTAGCTACAGGCTGCGCTTCCAACCAGTTTTTTTCAGTATCCTAAAGCAGGGAGCTGTGAGCTCTTTAGCGCTATGGCACTGAGACTCTCGGTAGAATTAATTACGCTCAAATTGCAGCCCGATAGCAATCCGCTAATCGGCTTCACCAGAAGGATAATGATGTCTGACAAAAATCAAGCTGCCAAAAGAGAAGATGGGGGGGTGGGGGTGGCGAGAAATGTAGCTTATTAAGTTGGAACAAAAGAAAGTGCTTTTTAAAAGCAAACATTTAAATGCTGTGCTGCTTCATTACTCAATGAATGGGAGAGTCCAACTCCCTCCTCCTCTTCTTAAAGAAGCATCAGTGCCTCTTGGGGTCTCCACAAACAGCCAGCAGCTGCTACAAGATCCAGAGCTAACAGCCTTACATTATTAGTTCTTCTGCTCTTTGAGGGGTTATGCTAATGAAGGACTGAAAGCTCCTTGAAGTGCTGGGCAAACACTGCAATTAAGCTGCCCACCACAACCTGGTCCCTTCTAGATGGCTTGGCATGCCACTGCCATCATTCTCAGCCATTTGAGATTTGCAAATGGACGATGGGACTTGTAGTACTATGCAATTGAAGAAAGGTGGGGCAAGATTGGTCAAAAACATTCTGTAACTTTTCCGAACTTGTGTTGGAATGTCAGCATATTTCAAATATTGGGCAGAAAAAAGCACACGTCCCAAGAGTTTTCTTTCATTTCCTTCTATCATGTTGCTGAATATCATTCCTCTTATCCCTGAACCTGATGAGTTTTCCAGTGACTGACTCCAAAGATCCCTTATTTATATCCTGTAGGTCTTTGTTACTCTAACTCAGGGCTGTCAAACTCCCAGCCTGCAGACTGGATGCATCATGCGCTGGCCATACCCACAACAAATTTAGCGCAGGGGTGGAAAGTCATGATACATCGTGTGACGCCACTGTGATGACGTGAGTTTGACATCCTTGCTCTAACTTCTTTGTGGTAGAAAGATCCATGCAGCTATCATAAAAAAATATAGATTGGCAAATGGTCCCATTCGATTATGGTACCATACTGATTAGTCTATTACTCATGTTTAATGAATTAACTCAGATTTCAATATTATGGGAGTAGGGAAATACATCTATTTTCCCAAGATCAGATTTTTTTTAACTACATATGTGATAGATTTTACTTCTGCCCCAATTTACCATTTTTTCTTCATTAAAAATATTGCAACTTTTCTTAGGAGGGAATGGCATTAATTACTTTGATTGTCCTTTCCTGCATTTTATGAAGAGTGGCAATTTAAAATAGGTGTGAAAAATAAATGGACCACAATGTGTATAAAGGGACTATCATTCTAATCATTTATTTGCTATCTTTTCTGATTATTTCTCATTATCCCACGGATTTTGCCTTATTTATAGCTGCTATTCATTGATTTAAATTTTGCATTTTATCTTCTACTACAATCCCAGAATTTTTTTTTTCCTGATCAGTCCCTGATAGTCCAAATGCTATCATATATGAAAATAGGGGGTTTTTTTTGTTCTATCATGCATAAGTTTGTTCTTTTTTCCTTCATTCACCATTTTAATACACACTCTCTTTGGAAATTTTTATTTTTCTTCTTTCTTTTAAACACTCCAAGTAATTTTGCATTATTAGCAAACTTAGGAACTTCTCATCAGATCACTCCCTCTCGCGTTTAGCTTCATATGTGTTCATTTTGATCATTTATGAACAAGTTGAGCAGTTCTGATCACAATAAGTATTCTTGGAGAGACCCACAGATGAATTCTCTCTATTGTGAGTTATAGAAGCAAAACTATCCCATGTGGCTATTCAGTAGCATTGGATATCCACAGTTTGCAAATCTTTGGATTCTCCATGGAGTGAACTTCAATGACAAGATTAGAATCTTCTAGTGATAGGTCTTGGACATTTTTGGGTAATGAGTTTGGCATAATGGGTGTAAAATTGCATGATAAACTTCTTTTTTCTCCACCATATATCAATATAGACGTTCTTCTGATATTTTTGCATTAGAAGCATATCAAAATTTGCACGTCCATTAATATTTATACATTCTGCCTAATAAAGAAGCCACTTACCCTGCCTGTTTTGCTAATTCAAAAAGTAAAGCCGGGACTCAAAATAGTAAAGGTCAATCATTGCTTCTATAACATGAAATGGAAAGGCAGTTATCTTGGTGAACTTTGAGTTGGATGGATCAAGGGTTAATTTTGTCCAATTGCTGCTGCAGCTAATTACAGATAATCCCTCAGTTTATGACCACAATTGAGCCCAAAATGTCTGTTGTTAAGTGAGACATTACTTAAGTGAGTTTTACCTCATTTTATGACCTGTCTTGCTGCAGTTGTTAAGTGAATCACTGAAATTGATAAGTTAGCAACCTGGTTGCTCAGTGAATTACTCTTCCCCATTGACTTTGCTTGTCAGAAGGTTGCAAAAAGCGATCACGTAACCATGGGACAAGCAACGGTCATAAGTATGAACCAGTTGCCAAAAATCTGATTTTTGATCACATGATCATGGGGAGGCTGCAAAAGTCATAACTGTAAGAAAATGTTCATACAGTAAGTCACTTTTTCAGTGCCGTTGTAACTTTGAATGGTCACTAAATGAACTGTTGTAAGTCGAGGACTATCTGTATATAAAGAAAACCTGGTTTAAGCTGCAAGGGAGCTAAGAACTCCATTAATATTATCAAGTTTTCTTAACTGTCAATAAAGGACACTGTTTGTAACTGAGGGTTGAAATGAGGGGTTCCTGGTGATCTCTGAGCTTGATTGTTTTCTTGCAGATGTTTCACTACCCAAACTAGGCAATCTCATCGTTGCACTGATGATGTTACCTAAGTTGGATAATGAAACATCTGCAAGAAAAGAGCCACCAAGGACCCTTCATTTCTTAACCGTCCTTGTTTGATTTGATGGCAAGGAAAGACCTTGCAAGGGAAATTCTCATGGGTGAGATGAAATGGAGTTCTGGGAGTTCTTTGCCTATTTACAAAGCCTCTTCACCTTGCAGTCTCTCCAACTCCCCACTTTCAACTCAGGTGCACTTTTCAATTCAAAATAAGTTGGAACAGCTTGCCTTTGGAAATTGTGGGAGCTTCATCCCTGGAAGCTTTTAAGAAGAGACTGGACTGCCATCTGTCAGAAATGGTGTAGGGTCTCCTCCTTGGGCAAAGGGGGTTGTAGATGACCTACAAGGTCCCTTCCAACTCTGGTTAACCTGTTAATCTACATAGCCAGGCAAAAAAGCTTCAAAAGGAAGGATAAAATGCTAACTTGAAGGATCAGCAAGGCCAGCATCATCTATCATTTTTGAATAATAAAATTAATAAGACCACATAAGGAGAATAAAGTAGGAATCTCTTTGAGAGGAGGAGAATTAAAAGTAATACGCTCCATCGATTCAATTTTACCCATTGTACACTGATATAGTATTTGATTTTGTTAAATTTATCCATGGGTCCTTTTG